TTTGCCCCTACAAGTATGCTATAATTTTCATACAACAGCGAATATTATGAAAACAATTTTTGCCTTTTTTAAAAGACCGATTTTTGTGTGGTTTTTCATTTTCAGGTAATAGGCGATCAGAATCGAGTAGGAGGTGTATTTCGGACCATCGTTGAATTGAAATACAAATATCTCGGTAACTACTAAACCGATTTTTATAAAGTTTCCAGATATGGTTAGAAGAAATTCTGAAGTTATATTACACACTGACATTTCATATTTTTACAAATATAAAGAGTGATATTTTAGCTATTATCTTTTTGGAAACACTGTTTTTAACAGTTTACATATATTTCGGGTATTGTTTCACTGCCAAACATCTTCAGTTCGGGCTATAATTTAACGATGAACAAACAAACAACGCTTTCAAATCATTGATTTTTTTATAAAAATGTGTGCTCTGTTAAAATGGTTCACAGTACGTTTCTTCAATTTTATGGCTGTATAATCGACTCACTTAAGCGGCTATTCCTTACTCTTTTATTAATAAAGATATATACCGATTTAAATTTCGTTAATGACATGGTAATTTAGCGACCGCAGCGCCATCTATTGATGCAGTAGTTGAAAAAATCATAAATGAAAAATTGAATGTCGTGTTTTTTTTTTGTCATAACTGTTGAACTACTGCAGATATTGTAAAAAAAATTGTGCTATATGAAAGGTAGGAAGTCTGGATATTTCGTGATTTATTTATAATTAAAATTTAAAAATTATGATATGTTTTATGTGAAAAATTATTTTGAACCTTAACTACGTTTTTGAAATAAAATTTGCCGTTTCCCTACCAATGACCAATTTTTTACTTCATTATGATATCTTACAGGTCAGGAAAGGCAGCCCTGAGACCCACTTACATTTGTGGTCCCTGGTATTTTTTAATGAATCCACGCCCATATCTGGCCCCCAAAGCAAACATGTTTAAAAACCCACGACTTGACAAAATAAATAGTCTAGATGTAATTCCCGAAAAAAATACTTTTAACAAAATCAGCCTTTTGATGTTTTTTATTAATATACATTTGTGGATTTTATAAATATTTTTGTTTCATGCGGCTATTTCAATAAACATTGAACCGAGGTAAGATTATCAATGAAAATGGGAACCATCACCATTTTCTTTAACATTTCTTTAAATATTAAATAAGCAGTCTTAGTTAATTTTTATAGCAGTCATCTTTCTTTAAGGACTAGTAAATCAGTTATGTTGAATTTTTTGAAATCAATTTCCTGATATGAGCCGAAAATGTTGTTCCGAATATCAAACCTGGTTCATGTTACGGAACTAAAAGCCTGCAGTTTGCTGATCAGTTAAATTTGCTATCTACCTGTTCTGGATGCCTGGTAGGTTTGAGCAATTTCGGAAAGAAAATATTCAGCTGACCCTGACATCGTTCATCAATTTGTTCCTCTACACTACCATTGTATTAAGTAAATAGTGTATATAGTTGAGTTATTTCTTTATGTACCTTCTTCGTTTATTGAAATAAAACAGATTAAAAAAATACTAAAAATGTGTGTCCATTTATAGACGTCTAAAAATCTCTTAGTGGGGGTTCACAATATTAGTTTCTTAGTAATAATAACGCCCAATGACATAATAATGTCTCCCAATGCATTTGAAAAAAAAATCCCAAAAATTTGGTGCAATTTTGCCCAAATTTCACAAAGATACCAGGCGCCCAGAATGAAGTAGCAAGTTGCCCGGCAAAAAAATAAAATTTTAGAAAAATTTTGGTCTGGCAACACCCTACCCGCGAAAAAAAAATCGAGCGCCTAAAAGTATGCTACAAATATTGTAATTTCTTTGTACGGCATTGCCAGATGAAATTTTTTACATTTTTTTTGGCTGGTTACTTTCTATTTTCTTCTGTGCGCCTGGTATTTTTGTGAAATTTGCGCAAAAATGCATACAACTAGGTGAATGAAAAATGTGACGTCATCACACAAATTATGTCGCATGCGTAGGCATGTATACTTACCATATTTGTTGTATCCGTAAATAAAAACAAATAGTATTTTCAGTAAATTCATTTTTTATTCAATTTTCTTTGTAAAAAATATATACATACATTTAAAAAAATATATTAAATATATGGACTATATTCTATTGTAATCCTTCCTTGTGGAATTTTTTGACTGAGAGATGAGGATAATTCCTCAATATATATTGCTTGTTATCGGCGGGTCTGGATTTTGAAATTTGGCGTTCGGATCATTGGGGTGTAGGAATGGAAATATACTAATGTATACTAAATTTGGTACAATTTAACTTTTAAGTGAACCAATTGTGCTGGAAACCTTGAAAATTGGAAATAAGGTTACTGTTAGATTGTAGGATTGGAGTATGAATGTAGTTTTGGAAATTCATACTGGGTACTGAATTGTACTAAATTTGGTACAATTTGAATTTTGTGTGAACTGATGGAGGAGGAATCCTGCAATTTGGAGTTACGATCTTTGTTGGTATGTAGTATTGAGTTATGTAGACGTAGCTTTGGAAATTCGTATTAATGTGTACTAAATGGTACCAAATTTGTATTGGGGCGACCGATAGAGCTGTAATCTTTAAATTTGATGTTAGAATCACTGTTACGGTGTAGGGTTTGGCTTTGTAGAACGTTTTGGAAATTCGTGCTAACGTGTACTAAATTTTGTACAATTGGAGTTGGAGTTAGGGTTACAGTTGGGGTGTATGTTTGGTCTATTTAGGAAGTTTTGAAAATTTGTACTAATGTGTATAAAATAGTACCAAATGTGGATTTGGATGAACCGATAGAGCTAGAATTTTGAAATTTAAGTTACGATTACTGTTGGGGTGTAGGATTGGGCTATGTTGGAAGTTTTGGAAATGTCTACTAATGTGTACTAAATGGCACTAAATTTGGTACAGTTTGGATTAAAAGCTAACCGATAGAGCTGGAATCCTGAAATTGAGTAATAAGATTTCCATTGGATTGCATGATTTCCATTGGAAGTTATGGCAATTTATATTAATGTTTACTAACTGATACATAATTTGGATTTGGGTGAAGCTATATTAGAAATTTGGAAATTTTACACGAGTACAAAGGATTAAAAATTACCACAAATTTTGTATAGAGCTAAATTTCATTTGCGGTCAGAATTGGTGTATAGGGTTGAGATATGGAAGTAGTTTTGGAAAAAGTGCTATAAGAGAACATAGGTACTAAATGGTTCCGAAAGTATTAATAATGTTTGGATTTTAAATACTTTCCACATTCGCTAACGAAGTAGCTGGTATATGCTAGTGTACGTATAAACGGCTAGAAACAAACATAGTACAGTAAAACAGATAATTACCAGTGATTGTAAACCATCACGAAAGCAAAACCTCATATCAATTGGAATCAAACTCTCGGATGAAATAATGTTCAATTTTAAGGCTCAGACAAGAAAAAACTGAGAAGTTAACAAGTGAAAAAGCGTTATATTCGGCTGGCCCGCACTTTGGATACCCTCCACCATAGATATACTGACAGGTACTTTTTTTAGTTACCTGTCAGTTTCAGAAAATTGTAATTTCATCCAAACTTTGCCCATCTTATTATTTCTTCCAAACTTAGTTCAAGAACGAAATTGGAGAATATCGGTCCACTCCTCCTTGTACCTCCCACACAGGGGCTAGTTCATGATCGAACCTAACGTTCTAGTTTTTTATCTCGATATCCTCCGCAGGTGAAAAGATTACAAGTCTTAGAACCAAACCCAAAACACGGAACAAATTAGATAAATATTTTAATATAAAAAATTCATACTGGGTACTGAATTGTACTAAATTGGGGGGTCTATCCCATAAAGGGTTCGAATATTTGTTACCATATACGACTACAAAATACCAAATTGCAGCGAATTCAGTTGAAAAACGTGCTCAAGAACCTCAAAATACCGAAAATTGGGGTTAACCTTATGCAAAATTTCAGCACCCTATCTCGATTCCTTCAGAAGATAGCGTGATTACAACAGACGGACGGACATGCTTAGATCGTCTTAGAATTGTATCCTGATCAAGAATATATATACTTTATAGGGTCGGAAATTAATATTTCGATGAGTTACAAACCGAATGACAAAATTAATATACCCTCCATACTATGGTGGAGAGTATAAAAAATAAAGCCTCAAGCCTCAGTATTGCTGTTGGCTGTTTTTTTTCTGTTTTCAAAAAGTTGATTTAGTTTTTTCGCAGCTGAGAAAATGCATTTACTTTTATAATCCAAATGTTTTTTCGCACTTCCCATCAGTCTATTCCCTCCATTAACATATTCAGTAATCATGCAAGACAATTTCAAGTTTTTAACCAATCACGAATTAATCTCCTTATATGTATGGGTAAAATATCTCTAGTTTGTGTTTCCTATCCAGTTGTTTATTTTCCTTCAGCAATTCTGGTCGCCATTTTTCACGTTGATGTTATTTTATTATTAAATATGCAAGTTTCAAAAACAATATATTAAAATTAATCATTCACCTTTTTAATCAACTTTGGAGAATAAATAATTTTTCACATTGTTTTTTTATTGTTCGAAAATTAAATGTTCGAATGTGGTATATTTGTTTTATTGAAATACTTAATTCTATACATTTCAATATATTTTTTGGCAATACGTCTTATTTCTATGACTAAGTATATAAGCTTAAATATAAACATCGTTTAGTAAAATAAAATACGATTGATAAGCTTAGGCAAACTATTTTTATTGACTTGCTTAAAAAAATCTATAAAATGTAAAAAAACAAAGTTTAACAGAATGCTTGGCATCTTGTGAAACAATAAATACAAAATTTAACAATTTTGGGATACTTTTTAACGACTACATACGTACACAGTTCAATACAATACATTCATACATAAATACACACGCGTAAGCATTTTCTTTACGATGACACACACACACATTTATGATGATGTTGGTCCTATACATAAACAGAAAATTTACAAAGTGACCAACTAAGTAATTAGACTCCTTCTTTAGACGCCTGTCGTCGATGTACGCGCATATGACGTTTTCCTCGCTGGTGGCAAATCTGATGAGTAGTCCTGGTAACGCTTTGTACAATTGATGGCCTAGAAAGATAAAAAGAAGAACAAGAAGAAAAGAGAGATGTGAAACAAATGAACAATAGTCTTATGATAACAATACAACAAAATATGGTCATAGTGTTGAAATACAAAGAACGCAAAGAAATAGAAATAACAGCAGCAAGAACAACAACAACAACGCCGAGAACAATACATTTGACCGACCAGTTATTAAGACATTTAATAGCCTAATGCCAACTAAGATGAACTTTAATTTGTTATAATCTTTAGATGTGGGGGTTGTTTCGCGGTTCACAGCAAGTGGCAATATATTGGGGGCTAAAGTGTCAATCTCATATTGTACATTTGAAGTTTTGTCTGAATTCAGATTGGAGATATTAGTATGATTAAGATGAATTATCAATATGAACATAAATTACATTTTTAAAGTATGCGAGCGATTATTATTGTGTAATCAATCGAATTCACAGAAATAAGTTGTACGCCTTTGAATACTAGCGCATTGTATTTTTAGAATACGAGCCATTATTATTATCTAATCAATCGAATTCACAGACCTCAATACAGTGCGCCTTTGAACTCTAGCGAAAAACTCACACGGATTCTTACGCTTATTTGACGAGTCGTTACAAAATAGGATAAATCCAAATTGTGAAGATCTTCATTATTGGTATATCCTCCAACATAAGGTTGAGTATTAATAAGTTGTCATAATGTTTGCAAATATTCGTCAGATACCACATATTTTCATAGTTATATATCTCAATTCAATATAGAGTTTGCAATATGTAAGACAGGGCCTTGGAGTTTTGGAAATACGTTGATATTAATTCCAGGTCCAAGTTTTGGCAAAGCTTTAATGTAACTGTACAACCTCATTTTCGCTATTTTGAAGACATTTGCAAACATGAAGACATTTTTTCAATATTTTTTTTTTTTCGATATATTTGGGAAAATTTTTTTTTAAATATTTTCTAGCGTTTGAAGAAGGTCTTTGGTATTTGAGATTTAAAAACTATTTTGGAGGTTCTATCTACAAGTACAACTTTTAAAAAATATTTTCCAATACAACTAAAAGTCTCAGAATTAAAAAAAAAAAAACAAATGGAGAGTCTTTCTGCAAGTGTACATTTCAAAAAATATGATATTGTAGATTTTTTAAATAATATTTTGAAGTTTAAACAAATTTCCATTATTTTTAACATTATTAAAATAACAGGTCATTAAAGAAAAATAATAATCTTGGTCATTGTGACGTATACGTGCATATAGTAGTTCTACGCCATAGAATTAGGTATATTATTTGTAAGTGGATTTTATTCTTTTTATTCTATCCAAAGCAAGATGTTTCTAAAATAATTTTTAGGTTCAAATCTATATGCTCAGAATATTTTGAAATATTTTCGAACGTCTTTTTCTAAGCGCTAGGTAATATTTCGCAACTCTATAGCGACCAGAAAAACAGACAAAGTAATATTTTTCATCCGCTAAATATTAAATTTCGTGACGATTGGTCGATAAATGTGGACTGTATCCTGTTTACCAATATGATTCTACATATATGTCTATGTAGACTCAGCTTGTCGAGATATGATCGGTATACTTAAAGGTGGGTTTAGGACCAATATTTCGCTGCGTTAGAAACTCTTGAGGTCACACGAAGCTATAATACCCTGACAACAAAGTTGTGTGGGTTATAATTACCTTCTTCCCACTCGTACATATTGACTGTAATACTAAAATGCATATATTATTTTTCTATCCGTACACCCTTTTGTATTGGCACATATTTACAATTATAGTACATATTTACAAAATCAGCTACATATCCAAACTTTAAACACACAAATTTCCGAATTCCAGCCGTATTCCTACACCCAATACCAAATGTAGTACCACTAGATACTTTTAGTTCACGTAAAAATTAATTTCCTTAACAAATTGTAGTTTCCATAATTCAAATTTTAGTATAAATATGTTCATTTAGTACCTTTCATAAATCCATACGACCAATTTAAAATTTAGTCATTTTCTTCTTTTACACTATTACTAGAACCACTTCCTTGAAGTATGAAACCACACACCAATTCTTACCCCTATCTTAAAATTCATAAATAGAACTCTATTTGTGCACTCAATACTCTTATAGTATTTATTTCCCAAAATATATGCATATCCAAATCTTACATCCCAATAGTATTTCAGACTTCCAATTAAACCGGTAAAACCAAATTGTACCATATTTGCACAATTAATTACACATAAATAGGAATTTATCGATTCGCTTAAATCAAAACTTACCAAATTTAGTACCATTTAGTACAAATATCCCTTCCTAACAATCACATAGACATTTTATTTTCAAACTTCAGGATTCTAGTTCAATTGGTTCACCCAAATCTAAATTCAACCAAATTTGGTACCATTTAGTATTTTTCGTAAACGTCGTCTCCATCCGTCGTTACTCCTTTATTTCCATACCGAAATACCTTACAAGATATTATCACTTCATCAAAATTGTATTCACACGCCCAATATCATCCTTTAAAAAATTATTAATTTCTAGAAATCAACAAAACCCCATGTAACTGTAAACAAGATTTGATTTATTGTAATATGGGCAATTTCCAAATTCAAAATTTCTTGGAATAAGTTATTTTTAAAATCCTCATATTCTAATTGAAAACTTTTTATAAACCTCACAACAATTTTGTTGTTTTGAAAATATATGAATCCATATGTTATCCTTCAATTACACCCGAACTCGCAATAAAACAATATTTCACTTATTGCCGAAATAGAAAAAAAAAACAATAACCAGCAGTGGCGCCATCATTATTTAACATAAATGTTTGCTGGTTTGTTTGTATATGGATATCATCATTCATTCATTCATTCATTCGTTCGTTCCTATTGTGTACACGAATGATCGATTGTTTTCCTTGTATGTTATGTGGCGTTATTGTATTTGATTTTGTTTTTTTTTTAATTTGCAAGTAAATAACTTTTAAATCTTTTTCTAATTGATTGAAATCTACCACATTTATCAGCCACAAACTCAACAACAAACCGAGTAACGGCAGCTAGGCAACGAATTAAGGCAAACGACAGCGAACCAGAGAGACGGATAGAACAACTGACATACACAAAAAAAGGAAATTATAAAAATGCATAAAATTGTTTAATATTCAGTATTTGTATTTTTTTTAATTGGCAATTTTTTATGGCATTTGTTTAATTTCATTAAATTGTTGAATAATTTCTGAGTTTTTTTTGTGTTCGCCTTTCAAATGTTTGTTGGTGGTTGGTGTCATACCTTGATATCGATGTGTTTGTGCGTGCGAGTGTGTGTGTGTGTGTTTGTGTAGGTGTTTGTTTACTTTCCTGCTGCTAATTATGTTAAATAGTTTTTGTGGTATTTGTAGCCATAGAATGTTTTCGCAAATTAATTGAAAAATTACAATAATTAACCGCTTATCAAACAAACCTTTTATATCTGTGCCCGGCTTCGCTAATTGTGGGAGTTATAAAAAGAAAAACAAAACAAGTGGTAGCAACAACAGCAGCCATAGCTGTAGCTTGGCATGTGGAAAGGTATTTGGGTGCGAATACTTTATATTACTAATTGAACTGATTGCAAATAACTCATACGGCATAATCAAATTTAAAATATTTATTTTTTGTTGTTATTTACCAAGAGAAAAAATTGAAATAAATATTGAATTTTATATTATTGCCCTAAGTTTATTAAATTGCAATAACATTTATTTTTATTGTGAATCTAGATTGCCGTTTTAAAAATATTGATAGGTAATTTAGGTTCTAACTAAATGCTGTTGTTATTGCTGTGAACAGTGTTTTAGTTTTCAGTGCTAAGCGTAAATTTCAATATCAACAAAAAAGTAAATCCACATCTTTGTTTACATTAATCGATGGAAAAAATCTTTTTTTTTAATTGCAATAAAAAGTATATTAGAAATGTTTGTTTACCGTCAACTGTAATTAGTTTCTAAACATATTTGCATAATAACCAATTAAACTAATTTAAATTTAAAATAATACTATAAAAAATAAGGGTATTGACATAGTGTCAAGGAGGGTTTATTACGAAATGAAAAAATAAATATTAATTTTCAATAAGTCATACATATGTATATATTTTCACATTCGTAGGAAGATTCGCATTCCTATTACAGGAATTTGTTCAATATAAGCCTAAATTAAGGGAACCCCCCATTCTCCATTTTAATTTTTCAAGATTTTCAATGGGCTGGTAAATGAATACAAATGCTTGTAAAGGTTTGTAACTTTGCACATATATATTTGAAAATTTAAAAGAGAAGAAAAATAATTTACAAAAAATTTTGTTATTGTTTTGTTGTTGTTTGTTGTAATTAAAGAAAAGTCCTGATTTTTGATGGCGGGCATGATAACTCCTCACTGGAACATTGGAATCCGAAAATTCCAACGATGTTAGAAAGAGTACATGTTTGGCTCTCGTATGAACTAGGATTATTCGCTCTAAAATTAACAAAATGGTGGACCTTTGAAAAAATATTTTTGGGAAATCGCCGATTTTTTACCAAAAACCTAATTAAAAATAAGGAAGATCTTCACCGATTGGCTTTATCCTAGTTCATACGAGAGCTATACACTCCCAGAGAAACGTTGCAAAATTTGGAACCGATTGGATTATTAGTTTTTGTGTTATCGTGCCCGCCATTCGCAAAAAAAATATTTAGAGAAAAACGCGTTTAAAGTTTGAGAATCCCTTCAGTCGTCACTTGATGCTGACACAATAAATCGGCTATATCTTCAAGAGTTCTTGAGATTTTCACTTGAAATTTAATAGATGATACCATCATTAACCATCTCTTTAGATAAATTTTCATTTGATATTTGGTCGAATATTCGAAGTAAAGCATAATTTCTCAGCAGATTCATGCCGCATGCAACAACAATCAACAATCCCAGAGAAAGTAAGGTATATATGTTTTTTTACACTATATTTTGGTCCGTTTGTC